CGTGACCAAAACAAACAGCCGAAGATTAAGACAACTTTTTCGGGTTGTAGCCCTTCCGTTATCACCACGATTTCGTTTCCCTCTATTCCAAATCTCGTTCCCAATTCCAGGATCCCATCCCCTAGACACCATTGTTTCCCTAGATCGAGTTCCTCGCCGTAATCGCCATCCCAATCTAGTAGTCCTTTTTTTTTTTTTTTATTTTTTTTTTTCCATGATGACCACATGAACATGTTAGATAGACATTTTTGATGTTTTTGATCGAAATTCAAAAAAAATCATAATCAGTTATACTATTTATGAAATTGATGTTTTAAATTCTTTATTAAGTATTTCAATTGATAATTTTAATATTTAAACATTATATACGTATATTTATTTTTCAATTAAACATTGACTATGTTATGATTTGAATAGTCAATCGTTTAAAAAAATTTATTATTTTATTTTAACGAATAAACGATTGATTATTTTGTTTTTAATTTTGCATCGTCAATTATTAATTGGAGATAATTTTACGTAAATAATACTTGATTATTAAAATTTCTGATTTCGAATATTTGAGAAATAAAATCACTATTTTCCCACCATTTTATCTTTAAGAACTTCATTTCGAGAGCTTGAGATAATTACATATTTTAAGCGTGGGTCTGAATGGGCCTTAATAACAAGGTCCATATTCTGCACATTTTTTGCAAGCAAGCAAAGGATTAGAATCATAGAAAGCGTCTTAAACTGTCTCTCGTCAAATCCTTTGTCCGTTCATATAGCCGACACGTGTAAACGTCGCCACGTGACGTCTCCTCCAACGCGTTTCGATAAACCACGTCCATTTTTTTGCTTGTTGGGTATAACAACAAAGTGACGTCGTTCTACAAGTGGTAACGGAACTACCACGTGTCTTACAACACACCCCGTTCTAGTTGCTAATACGGTACGCCACGATACACTCAATCTTGTTCCTCACCTACACTCAACTCCACTGAAGTTAGCTCAAAGTTCTTTTTTCATTTTAAAAAAAAATCCGAAAAGTTCATTTCCTACTTATATTCGGTGTTTCATTTGTAGAATACTGATACGAGTTATCTCTTCGAAAAAAGGAGTTATATGGTTTTTTCGATTATAATTTACTGATTCTGTTGACAAAAAAAAAAAAATTTACTGATTCTTGCCATGCGAGAATGATTAATAAATAACTGAGTTCATGCTGACTAGATAATGAAAATAATATTCAAAATTTGATAATCTTGGAGAGATTAATACCCAGAAAACGCAATTAGGCGTGTACGCGTTTGGTTTAAGACGTGCCCCACACGACTACAGGCCCGTAGCCAACACATAAGTCAGTTCCACGGGAAAGGTATGCTCCTTTTTTATATTAGCTAAAATCTAATTTTGAATTCACCAAATTTATTAAATTTCTGGTTTTTGACTTTGAACCGGTCTCTCACTCTTGATGACTTCCTTATTAGGTCAGCTATGACCGAAAGCTCGGTATTTTACTGTAGTTTACATCAATACTTTGCTTAGTTTCTTTGGCCAATTGGGGGAGGGGGCAATGGTTAAACTGAGTATTAAATCTAACATTATTTATATATAAAACTTTGATAATTTTCCTATATTTTGAGAGATTCTTTATTATCAACTACTGTATAAAATAAACAAAAGACAAGATATGAAAGTGTTAAAAAGTGAAGAAAATAAGGTTATGAATGGGAGAGGCAGAACAAAGGCAGATCATGCAGTTCTCCCGCAATAGGCAGTTCTCCTGCCTTATGTTTACCATTCACCATTTTCTGTTTGCAAAAGCAGTTCAAGCGGGAGATCTGCATGCAGTTCAATTTTTTTGTCTTTTAGTAGAAAAAGCAGGAGATCTGCATGTAGATCCCATCCGCTAACATTTGGTGGTGTTGATCTGCCTTTTTTTTTCTTTTTACTAATAAATAGTTTTATTATAAACACTTAACTTTAAAATATATTTATTTGATTTTATAAATAATGTACAATGATTAACTCAAACTATATATTTCACATTAATATTATTTGTATCATTTTAAAGTTATAAGCATGATGTCTAATCGCAAAAAAACACAATATTTTTCACGAAAAATATAATTTTTTCTACATAAGTGTCAGCAAAAAAATAATTATTTTATATTTTAAAATAATTAATAAATAGAAGAAGTATAAGCATCTAATAAAATTTTTACAGACATTTTGGCTGAACATACAACATCTGAAATATTTGTTTTGATATTTGGTGTAATTTTTATTATTTTAATATATGATATATAATGTGAACATATTTTGTCATTTATAATAAATTATTTAATATGTTTTATCTCCATTTTTATATATAAATATTAACAAAGAATTAAATATAAAGATGTCTGTTATTCAAAAATAATTTTGATCAACTAAAACGCTACAAGCATCTTATGAAAAATCCAATAAACATTTAGGCTGATCCTACAACATTTAAATATTTATATTGATATTTGGTATAATTTTATTATTTTAATATATGATCTATAGTTTTGAACTTATTTTTTCATTCATAATTTATGATTAATTGTTTGATCTGCATCTCTCCTGCTTGATCCGCTTGATCTGCACTTGTCCTACTTTATCTGCATTTGTCCTGCTTGATCTACATGAACCGCTTGATCTGCACCGCTTGATCTGCTTTTACCATTCGAAGCCTAAAAGGTGTTGACAGCTGACTTGATAGTTCATATATTTAGTATTTGTTTGCATTTTTTGTAGTATCTTTAGTAATCTGACATATATTCAAGAAACTAACATGTTGTGAAATTTTGACCAAAAAAAAAAAAAAGCATGTTGTGCAATAAAATAATATCACTGATATTATGATTTAATTTCTACTTTCATAATAATCTTCTGCCATAATTACTATTCAGGCCTCTTAAGTAACATAGCAGAGTATATACGTGAGGGTAAAAAGAGATAAAAATGTGACCGACTTAACACTAAAATGCCACGTGGTTTTGCGTATAAAAAAAACAGAGTCTAACCATTTCTCTACCACTTCACTCCATTGTCTTTCTTTCTTTCCCTCACCACTAGCGATAAACTCTGAACATCAACGAAGCAGAGTGTCTCTCACACATAAAGATTCTTCTTACTATGTCTCTCGAAGCGATGAATTCTCCGACCACTCCGTTAACAGTCCGGAAAGATAGAGTCAATACAACAGATGATGATCTGATGAACGACGCCGTTTTCTTAGAGCCGTGGCTGAAACGCAAACGCTCCAAACGCCACCGTTCTCGCAGTCCATCTCCCTCCTCCTCCTCCTCCTCGCCGCCTCGATCTCGCCCTAAATCTCATAATCTCACGGAGGAAGAGTATCTCGCTCTCTGTCTCCTCAAACTCGCCAAAGACCATCCCTCTCCTCACAAACCCTCACCGCCGCCGCCGCCACGAGACTCCACGAAGCTCCCGTACAAGTGTAGCGTTTGCGGAAAAGCGTTTCCTTCGTATCAGGCGTTAGGCGGACATAAAGCCAGCCACCGAACCAAACCTCCATCCAACGATTCAACGTCTCCGATGATCATCGCCGGAGAGAAGCATCAGACTTCCACCGCCACCGTCCCTCCTTCCGGGAAGATCCACGAGTGTTCTATTTGTCATAAAGTGTTTCCGACAGGTCAAGCTCTCGGCGGTCACAAACGTTGTCACTACGAAGGAAACCTCGGAGGAAGCAAGTCGGTTAGTCACAGTGGAAGCGTGTCGAGCACGGTTTCGGAAGAACGAAGCAACCGTGTATTGATTGATCTAAATCTCCCGGCTTTACCGGAGCTAAGCCTTCATCACGGCACAGTCGTTGACGAAGAGATTCAAAGTCCGTTGACCGGTAAAAAACCGCTTTTGTTGACGGGTCGTGACCAAGTCATCAAGAAAGAAGATTTATCTCTAAGAATATAATAATACATAAATCTTCGTTAAAAATATTTAGTATCATTTTCTTTTGTTGCGATATATTTTTTTACTTAAATTATAGGATTGGATATTCATTTTATGTTAGGGATTTATACAAAAATTTGATTGTTTGTGGTTTGATTAAACCATGAATTCGTTTTTATTGTTATTAGCTTTACTAATCTCTCGAGTTCGGTTTGTATAATATAAGACACGTGGCATTCTGTGTGTGAACACAGAGCAGAAATAGTTGGGGAACGAGAATCCGAATTCTTCCATGTGGATTCGTTGTCTTTGATTAGAATTCGGCACATGTATTATCAGTTTGGTACATAATTAAAATTTTTGTTCATAAAGAAACTGTTGTGTTTATATTCTTTGCCATACATTCCGATATGGTTATTGGCCACTAAAACCTATAGAGTGCATTATAGGCTTATAGCCTATAGTTTTTTTTTCTTTATTCGTATTAAAACTAATACGTAATTAATTGCACATGCGTTTTAGCAAGGCTATTTAATTTTGTTGATTATATCGAATCATATATGATACTAGGTGTTGACCCGCGCCCTGCGCGGGGTGAGATTATTTTGACTTTGATCGAACAATAATTTGGTATATTAATTTGTTTAACTAAAAATAGGTAGTGGATGTGAATTAGTAATAAAAATCATATAGTCATATAATGAGATATTAGTATAGCTGCGAAACAAAGCATTGATTCATAGCTATTTGTTTTCACTTTTTGTCTTATATATCTATTTGTCTTATAGATACATGATGATACAAAAAAATTAAGAAATCGTCTACTAAAAAAAGTAGTAAATAAATTAAAATAATTAATATCATAATAAAACATAGAGAAACAAAACATGATATAATGAGAAAAAAGTAGATTAAAATAAAATAATAGATAGAAAATTAAACATGATATAATAATTTAAATTGTCTTCAAAACTCTTGGTTTGCAATCCTACATACAAAAATAACAATTAGTTAGTTTACGAAACAATACACACTCTTTTAATATTTTAAACTCATCGAAGATATACTTCTTCCTCAATGCATACGTCAAAAAGAGAAATAGAATAAAACTCGATCATTTCTAAAAAAATTAACTTACTCTAGCATCGAGGAAGACCATTTCGATAGTCTCCCCAGCAGCTGCAGAATACTCTTTCCAAAGGCGGACAATTTTCACTTGAACCTTCCATTGGTTCTTGAAAGGCTTCAACTTAGATATAAGGTTCATGGCGGTCATAGAAGATGTGTAGGTTTATTCTTACTTGTCTGAATATCGAATGGACCTTTAGAACTCGAGTTATATATGTTTAAATAGCATTTACATTTACAATTTGCGGTTGTCTATCAAGGAAATTCCAATTTATGGCTATATCATTTAATTCAGAATATTATATATAGCTGATTGACATTCAAATGGAAAGAAACCATTAAACCGTTTACCTAATAAAAACATTCCGAGATTTAGTTGCTAAAATTATGTGACTGAAATATATTCATTCAATATTAGAAATATCTATGCAGATTCGGTCATTAATT